CACTTATGGTTTAAAACAGTATTATATGACCTCGAGATGTTTCCACTAAAATCTCAAGGCTTATCTACACCGGGCCCTGAAACCTCAAAACATTCTCAAAAAGCGTGGATATTAGCCTTTAATTTTGGATTTTTTTGACTTTTTTTTCTCTCGAAAATAAAAATTGCCGAAATGTTTACCATGATTCCTAATAGCCTATGGTAGTCCAATTTGGTTAGTGGAACCATGCAATTTGCATTTAAACGGCCAATTTACCGGTTTACAACTTGCACTTATTTCATTAACTCAAACCTACCACGAACATTTATGAAGACATATAATGGTCATTTATGGTTTCAAACTTCATTATATGACCTCGAGATATATCCAATAAAATCTCATTTCATATCGACACCTGGCTCCGAAACTTTCAAAATTTCTCAAAAAGCGTGGATAATAGCATTCAATTTAGGAATTTTTTGACTTTTTTTGCCCGAAAATAAAAGCTACCGAAATGTTTACTATGGTCCCTAATACCCTCAGAGGATCCAATTGGGGGGTGGAACCATCCAATTTGCTATTAAACGACCAATTTACCGGTTTACAACTTGCACCGATTTCATTAACTCAAGCCAACAACGAACATTTATGACAACAAATAATGATCACATACGGTTCCAAACAACATTATATGACCCCGAGATGTATTCCCTAGAATTTTGAGACTTTTAGAAACCGGGACTTTAAACCACCAAAATTTCTCTAAAAGCGTGGATATTAGCCTTCAATTTTTAGATTTTTTGACTTTTTTCGCTTGTAAATAAAAATTGCCAAAATTTTTACTATGGTCCCTAATACCCTTCGGGAGTCCAATTACGTAGGTGGAACCATCCAATTTTCATTTAAACAACCTATTTACTAGTTTACAACTTGCACCGATTTCATTAACTCAAGCTTACCAAGAACATTTATGACAACATATAATGATCATATAAGGTTCCAAACGACATTATATGATCCCGAGATGTATTCCCTAAAATCTCAAGTCTTTTCGACACCGATTCCTGAAACTTTCAAAACTTCTCAAAAAACGTGGAAATAAAAATTGACGAAATGTTTACCATGGTCCCTAATACCCTCTGGGAGTCCATTGCCGAAATGTTTACCATGGAACCAATCAATTTTCCTTTAAACGACCAATTTACCGGTTTACAAATTGCACCGATTTCATTAACTCAAGCCTACCACGAAAATTTATGATAACATATAATGATCATATATGGTTCCAAACGGCATTATATGACCCCAAGATGTATCACCTAAAATCTCAAGGATTTTTGATGTCAGACCTTGAAAGCTCCAAAATTTCTCAAAAAGCGTGGATATTAATCTTAAATACTTTAATGTTTTTTTTTTTTTTGCCTTTAAATAAAAATTTCCGAAATGTTTAGCATGGTCCCTAATACCCTCAGGGAATCCAATTGGGTTGGTGGAACCATCCAATTTGCCTTTAAATGGTGAATATATCGGTTTACAAATTTCACGGATTTCATTAACTCAAGCCTACTACGAACATTTATGACAACATATAATGATCATGTATGGTTCCAAACGGCATTATATGACCCCGAGATGTATTTTTTTAAATTTACTCCATCCGTTTCATAATGTTAGACTCATATACTATTTTGGACGTTTCAAAATGTTCTACCCATATTGAATCTATTCCTTTTTTATTTTATTTTATTTTCCAATTCGATCTTATAAGTTCTAATCCCATTAGTGAATTGATGACATGGCAGTAATTAAACATTTTGATTGATCATCAATCCCATTAATGGATTGAGGACATGGTATTTGATTGATATTCCTCACGTTAAACAAGCATTGTAATTGATACTTTCCAAAGAAAAAAAAAAATCAGAACATTTAATAAGACAAAACTAATTAAGCAGTTTTTGTACTAAAATGTAAGATTCCAAATATTATTCATTTTCTTATTTTTTTGTGATTGATTTTATATGGGACTAACAAAGTGAAACGGGGGGGTAATACTTTTCTACACCAGCCCCGTAACCGCCAAAATTTCTCAAAAAACATGGATATTAACCATCAATTTTGTAATTTTTTGATTCCTTTTCGCTCGAAAAATAAAAATTGCCGAAATTTTTACCATGGTCTAATACTATTCGGGAGTCCAATTGGGTGATTGGAACAATCCAATTTGCCTTCAAACGACCAATCTACCGGTTTATAACTTGCACCAATTTCATTAATTCAAGCGTACCACAAACATTTATAACAACAAATAATAATCATATATGATTCCAAACGGCATTATATGACCCCGAGATATATCACATAGAATTTCAAGACTTTTCGATATCGGGACTCGAAATCTCCAAAATTTATCAAAAAGAGTGGATATTAGCTTTATATTTTGGAATTTTTGACTTTTTTTGGCGCGGAATTAAAATTTGCCGAAATGTTTACCATGGTCCCTAATACCTTCCAGGAGTCCAATTTGGTGTGTGGAACCATTCAATTTGCTTTTAAACAGCCAATTTAATAGTTTACAACTTGCACCGATTTACCAGTTTACAACGACCAATTTAATTAACTTTCACCGAACCCGACTTGAAACGAAATTGTCCCAAAAGCGTTTTAACCCGTCAAACCCGACTTTTTACTAACCTGACCTGAATTCAACCCGACCAATTCCTAACCTGAACCGAATTTAACCCAAACTATTACAAAACCGACTCAAAATCAACCCGACTTGTGATTGACCTGACCCAAATTCAACCCGACTTGTTATTGACCTGACCCGAATTTTACCATACTTGTTACTTACCTAACCCAAAAATTAAACCCGATCTGTTACTCACCCAACTCAAAATTAACACGACTTGTTGTTGACTCGACCTAAATTCAACTCAAATTGTTCCTGACCCGATTTCAAATCATCTTAAATACAATTTAGACCACCTTATCATTGTTGATCAAAGCTTTTTGTCTTGGGAGACCAAGTCGGTCCAGGCAGCAAAAGAAAGGAGCATCATCCTCAAATTTAAGTGTTAAATATAGTATATATTTATTGTATGGACAAAGGAGATAATTATCTTGCTAAATTATAAACTATAGTTCCCTAGTATATTGTCATATATATTATACTCAAAGGAAATTATAAGCTTGATAAAAATGATATTTATCTATTTATAGTTAGTTGAACCCGAATATAACCTGTTTTGGAAATGACCCGACCTGATTATAACCTGCAAATTATTGACTTGAACATAACCCGACTTGAATCCGAGAATGACTCGACTTGCAAATGACCAAACCTGATTATAACCCACAAATTATTGACTTGAATCGAACTCGACTTGAACCGGAGAATGACCCGAGTTGAAAATGATTTGACCTGATTATAATCCGCAAATTATTGACTTGAACCAAACCCGACTCAAACCCGAGAATCACCCAACCGATTCTAACCCGCAAATTATTGACTTGAACCGAATCCGAGAATTACCCTAACCCGTTTTAATCCGTGAAAACCCGACCTATTGTTCACCCGACCCGAATGTAACTCGACATATTATAAACCCGACTTAAATCCGATAAGAAGTATGACCTGACGTGACCTGGCTTAAGCGTGACCCAACCCAAACCCGACTCGCATAGGTTATGGAATTAATCTGAATTGACCTGACCCGAGTTGACCTGACCAACTCTTACTCGACCCAAACCCGACCCATTTACCTGAATTGACAGCTTTACTTCTCTCTATTATGTGAGGAATAAATGCTAAAAGTAGGTATCTAATTAAGGAACGGATGGAGTAACAAATAAACCATATATTACTAAGTTACCCTATAATATAATATGAGTAAACCCTATAGCATTATTCACAGATTAATCGGATAACCTATGGAAGTTTGCCAGACACATTGTGACTTTGTGAGTTGTGACCAGGAGGGCGCACTAACAAATTTCACCACAATTTTACAATCAGGCAACAATTCAAGAATCGCTAATCAAATAATTAAACACACTAATCTGTTTACAAAATCCAAATATCCCAAGTCCCCATTGTTCTAACATGATCAAATTAGGGCATGTTCTAATAGATTGAAATCAGCTTAACTGAACTAAGCTTAAACTGAATATTTTATACGGGAAGGAAAGAGAAAATTCAAGTTTATCTCCTAGAGAAACAAACAATGTTTATCTAGTGACAATTGGGTAATTAAATTGCTTCGATATTTGTGCAAAAATAAAAATAATTAGTTCACTGCTACATTTCACGTGAGTTCTCAGCTTCTTGCTTCATCATCAATGACGAACAAAAGCTCAAAAGCAATCCCAAAATAAAAAGCTTAACTTCAATGGAGGAGGAAAGCTCACCTACCCTCTAAGGGTTAACCATACCCTATATTCCTCCCCTTATAATTAGGGTTTTCGTTTAATTCGGTGGCAAAGCTGTCGAAAATGGTGTTGTCGGTGTCAGAGAAGTCATTGACATAGCTTGAAGAAGAAGATGAAGGTGTCGATGGAAGAAACAGATGCTTGTAATGGAGGTGGGTGAAGGAGGAAGAAGAGATCCATGGATGTGCGTGAAATAACGTTGAGGAAGAAGATGAATTATAGTGCAATTTAAAAAAATGTCCATTTTATATAGAAAATTACAGATATACCCCTTGATAAACATCAACTGGTTATCTAGATGATAAACTGGGGCAAGCCCGGAAGAAAATTAGAAACTAAGCTGAACTAAAAATAAACGTATGAAAACAGGCCCTTAGATAACAAGGTGGCTTACCACTTGTTCATATACTTCATCACATACAAAATTAACCAAGCTTGTGAAATCATTCATGATATAGACCAACTAAACAGCAAGTAATCTTTTACTTGTATTATTTATTGTTGTATTTTTTTAAGCATACAATGTCAATTTACTCTGTAATCTAAATTTTTCTGCCCGTGTTTCAATTTATCAAAAACACAAACTGTTAAAGAAGCAAACCATTCAACATTTACAAGTGAACAACACATTAAGAAGCAGAAACTTATCAAATACACCAAAGCTATAATTTGATCAAACATCAAGAAAACCTCAGTGAAAAGAAGGGCAAATAACTGAAGTACCATTCTGTCATTACTTAAACTTTTCATAAGATCTAACAAGTCCATGATCCTGCAAAAATGCCAATGTAAGTGAACCCAACAAAACTTAATGTTTCTAAGTTGAACTGCATGAAACAAAAACTCATTGCCTAATAAGCCTGCTGATGGGATTTTCATTCTTCATCTGACTCTTCATCATCGTCAGCACCAGCAGCAGCATTTAGGGCATTCAATCTCTTGATTAAGCTAGCCTTCCTCTCGTCATATGTCAGCTTCTTCAAGTTGTACCTGAAGCAAAAATATTATTCAAGTTAATATTAATACATATGTAATATAAAAGTAACTAAATAAATGATCACTCCAGCAACGCTCACCTCTTGTGCTCCTTTGGTGGCTGTTTGCCAGACTTCTTGGCACTAGGATCAGCGCGGATGGCAGCATGAACCTTCTTGTACAGAGCCTCTAAATTATCAGCCTCAATCCCTCTCTTGATGTATTGACTGAAATGAGACTGGTATTTCTCAGGCTCATCCTCCATGAGAGTCTATAATATTAAACATCAGAGTTAGTGCCACAGAAGATTCGGAAGCGTGCACAATAATAATAGAACACTGAATCTCAATCCTAACCTTCATGTAAGTAGCAACGTGTCCACCATAGATGTACTTGCGGTGGACGTCAGCATCAAGTTGTTTGCCGTCTTTAGCAAAACCAGCAAACCTCTTGTCACTGTGTGGAATGTCCAAACCACCATCTAGTGCTCCCTGTAAAATAAACAGCATTGGTCAAACAAGGTTTATCAATGTTCTTCAAACACTATGCACTGATACTTGTCAAAATCAGAACTTGCGAAGCAGCAGCCACACTGTGAAGAGAATGTATCAATTTATTTGAGAAATTCAATTGGTCTACCGTACAAGTAAATAGCATTAAACCTAAACAAATTTGAACAAAAGACATCAACACACCGTCACTAAAATTTCACTGATTAGCAAATAAAGTTACTCACATGATCAAATGGACAAAACACCCTAGGTTAAGACTAATCAGGATTAGAGACATCAGAAAAGATTTACAATACAACAATGGGTATTCCAGACACCTTCCAACCACTCACATGAGAAGAGAATAAAAACTATACCTTAAGAGCACCAAAAACTCTATTTCCGGTAGTTGTCCTAATAAGACCAACATCAAGAAGAGCACGGAAAGGCCTCCTAGTTTCAGCAGGTTCAACAGAATAGTCCTCACCAGTTGCCTGACAAACAAACTCATCAGAGACTAGAAGGGTTATGCATATTCAGACTAATCACAAGATCAGATCCTTTATCTACCTCAACATTGCCTTCATATTCCTGGTCCATCTCAAGCATCTTCAAGACTCTTCTTGCAAGAAGAAGTCCAGTACAGTATGCTGAAAAGCCATTTAAAAATGACATAAATATTTGCTAACAGGGGATCAGCATAAGGCATTTAAACAAATATGGATCACAAGGCACAAAATGAAATTTACCAGCAGCGTAGTTAGTAAGACCAACTTCAAGCCCATAGCGGGGAAGCTCATGAGCATAGGCTGAAGCAAGAACAATATCACCAGCAATGCTTGCAGATATAATTTGTGCAGTTACATCTTTGTTAGTCTGCATTACATGTTAAGGCAGAACTACAAAAATGGATATCATGATATAATTGATATATGTAATCATTTCAAATTAAGTTCTCGGGTGAAAATTAGAAAAATGTATGATTGCTGAAACATACAGCAGATCATGTATATATAAAGACATAAAGTTGTAAAGAGCATTAGTTTTTCAAAGCAAGTGAAAGATGAAATCAAATCAACTAACAAATGTGATAAACTGATAATTCAGTGTAGTAGAGTTAATCTAATATAGTAGCGTAGTGAAGGATACAAATCGCACAACAAAACGGTACTTAGGAGTGTTGTACTTGTTCTTGTCCTGGTTGATCAATCGATTCCTGGCACGGTAATCGGTCTTTCCCTCTGTTTATACATAAATGAAGAAAAATCAAGGTTAAGAAAAAACAATCAATAAGACTGCTAAACTGTTCCAACATGTAAATGCAAAACTAAAACTCATAGATGACTGACCTCTTCTTCTCTTGAACTTTACTTGGTAACGCTTGAAGTAAGCCCTTGTTTTTTGAGCCTTCACAAAGGCCTGCAACACATGGAAACTATATCATCAGCAAAGCAGTACCATAAATCATATAACTATCTACCAATTAACTTAATAACAAGAAAAACAGGGGGGCAACAAGTGCCAATCGAGATAAAGCTTACTACAATCATTCCTCTCATATGCACACAAATCATTGTACTTCATAACAATAGCATTGGTATTCGAAGTAACAAAGTAATATTCCAGATTTACGAAATGCATAAAGCAGTGCAATGGTGCTACACTTACATACGGATCAAGCAATCAAACCATCACCAAATGACAAATGATTTTTACAACAATTTCAGTTGAGTTCTCTCATACATGCAACTATGAACAGCCCCATATTGAATTTAACAATCTACACTTTCATACCACATTCTATACAACCCACAAAATCTAAACTACCATAATAGTGATTTTTCAGTAAATGCTCATTGTTCAGGCTTAATACATTGCTAAACCATTTAAATGGCACCACTTTCATGATTTGCATTTCACCCAATACTCTCGATTATCAATAATACCCAGTTAAAGTTAACACATGTATGATGAAAGCTCAGCACAATTACAATTAAAATTAACCCTTTTCTCAATTACAAAACTTCATATCAGCCAATACATCCCCGACATAAATAAATTAACTTACAAATTAAAAACGCAATTAAACCCTAAATAACCTAAAACACAATACATTTCCACAGTAAATCAAATAACTTCAAAAAAGATTCAATTTTTCTAGGGAAAACAACCAATCTGAAACCAATCAATCCATTTCAACAATTAATCAAAAACCAAAAAAGGGGAAGAAATGAAACCCAAAGCAAATCAATCATTTCAATGAAAATCAAATCAAAGTTCATCAAATACACAAAAAAGTTCAAACCATAACGAACAGAACAACGAAGAGAGATGAAGATCGACAGTAACAGAGAGGAGAGAGAAAGAGAGTGAACCTCACCATTGTTGCGACAGCAGCTGAGGAGAGAGAAAGGAGGAGAGAGAAGCGCGAAGAGCAGCAGAGTGTAGACTGCGAGTTTATGAAGAATGAGGACGATAAAAACCCTAGGGTTTCATGAAGATCGTTAGATCAACGGCCTAGATTTGTTCTAGGGTTTTAAGGGCTTTTATTACTTCCTTCCACTTTTGGGTTCGGATTTTGTACCTAAATAAACTCTTGTTTTGGTTACTAAGCTTAGCTTCGGTACTAGCTTTTTTATTTACTTAATCGGAGTATTATTATAGGAGCATGTTTAGTTCACTTTATTTGCACTTATTTTAGCAAAAATAGCACTTGACTAGACCATAGAATCGAGTAATACTTGATCCTGAAGACTATAATTTTTGCTAGCAACCTATTAACGTGAACGCCTGATGGAGAATGATCTCACGAATACTTAAGATGGCAATGGGCTAGGCTAGCTGATAAAAATGGCACTGGGTATGACCCAACACCACAAAAACACAGCATCGCACTTCACGATACTATGTGTGTAGGCCGTGGGCCGAGCTTGGAGCGTTGTTATTTGCGAGAAACATGATAAGGCACGACACGATCGAGCCCAACACGGCAAAGCACACTAAAATCAACGTAATTATGCTTAAGCAAGCAAGCCCGACACGATGGCATGTGGTCCTAGGCTTTGCACGGGCCAACCTTTTGATAACTCCAGCCCGACACGGCACGACACGAACTCGTGGGCCAAGCCATGTGTTGGGCCTAACTAATCCTAAAGCACAAGGGTATGGCACGAGGCACGCCCAACACGGCCTAGAGCCATCTTTAGTAGCCAACCACCAACCCGAACGGTCGAACTAGTCCCAAAAAGCCTATGCAAGGCCATTGTTGCTCGACCAGATGTTATTCGTGTTGGACCATGAGCCATGCCTAGGTCTAGAAATTAGGAACGTAGGCAGAGCACGACCCATGGCTCATAGAAGCACGAGAAAGCTCTTGGAAGTCCACTAGGCCCAACTCGTATATAGGCCCATAGGACTGCCCGTCATTATTATACAACAAAATATTATAATCATCATATAACTAATATATAAAGTCAAACTTTTAGCTAGGTCACGAGGCAGCGACACTTGGCATTCTAACTTTTCGCCAAGTGTCGTGCCACGTTGGATAGATTTAAATACACTTCATAAAATAAAAAAGTTAGTTTAGAATTCTATTATGAATCAAATTTGGATAGAATTTTGCCACGTTGTATAGATTTAAATCGACTTCATAAACAACCCGGGCATCGCACGAGGCACAAAACTAGTACAAATATTAAAAATAATAAACTAACTGTATTAATTAAGCAAAATGAAAAAAATGACAAAGCAAAAAACAAATAGGTTGCACAAAAAAAACCTCGCACGAGGCACAAAACTAGTACAAATATTAAAAATAATAAACTAACTGTATTAATTAAGCAAAATGAAAAAAATGACAAAGCAAAAAACAAATAGGTTGCACAAAAAAAAACTAGCCTCTCTCTCCTCTCTCTAAAACCCTAGCCTCCATTGTTGAATTTTGGAGGGACTTTCATCGGTTTTTACCGGTGGAAAGCCTCAATTGTGTGTTTTTTTAATCTTGTTTTAGATTTTTAATGACTCTTCCTCTTTTAGGAGGAACATTTCTCCCTCAAAATACAGGGTTTTTCTTCTTCTTTAAGAGGAATTGGCTCATTCAAAAGACCGAGTTTTTCTTCTCTCCTTTTTTAGGGAGGATTTGCTTGTTTCATTTCATGTATTGCTATAAAGTTGTTTTATTGGTAAAATTTTGTGCAGGATTGAAAAAGAGGTTAATATTTCGATTACAATATAATGAATCAGACGGAATTTTTTTGCACGGCTACAACAAATAAACAGATCGATAGACCCCCTCGCTGAAAAAGGTTGTAAACCACAACGATATAAAGGAGGGTACGATTTGCAACAACGATTGTAGATTTGCTTACAGAATGTTTTTATTTGATTCAATTATGATGTATTTGTTAGATCTAAATTTCTTTGTAGATTTCGTGTGACTTTTATTTATGAATCAATATTATTTATTAAAAAATAATAATAAAAAAGCAAGTTATATGATCAACCATCAATGTAATAAAAACTGGATTCAACAAGGAAAACCCGTGGGCCCATGGGCTTTATCATGGGCAAGCACGTGGGCTATGCTTGGGCCATTTTTTGCAATTCCAAGCCAACTTGGCCCAACATGACCCATGGATATTGGGTTGGGCTCAAGAAGGTCTTAGGCCCGTGGCCAAGCCCATGATCTACAATCCAAAGCCATATTTACATGGCATGGCTAACCCTAACCCTAAATGGTAGGGTTATCGCCCTCCTCCATTGAAGCTATTCTGGAGCTTTGAACACTCCATGGAAGCTTCTTCCTCCTCCGTTGAAGCCGTGATATCTCTAGTGAAGTTCTACCCTTCTTCCATACTCGGACAAAATTATACTATTAACCCTAACTTATTGGTTATATTACAAATTTACCCTCTTGAGCCACAAACTTGTTAATCAATAAGAGAAACTTGTATTTAGCGCTTTTGGACAATATACCTTTGAATGCCCATGCCCTTATAACAATTCAGCACATTTATCATCAGCCTGAGAATAGCAAACCTGCAATCAACACACTCACCTGCAGAGAGTATTCCTGCAATATTTCAAGAAGCCCGAAGGCCGAAGTATTGAACATGCATAGTAAATAACCGTGTTTCACTTGTATGCAAAGAATGCATAGTAAATAAGTCTTTGCAATTAATGGACAAAATCGGATATCCAGAATGGATTCAAAGAAACAAATGGCATTTCTCATTTACAAATTGCTCTTCAGGCTCTCAGATAATTCAATCTACTAAAGCTGAGCTAATATAGAATTTCTCTTTATTCTTTGTATACATGTAGAAGCATTTAGCTACAAAATCAATATTATATACAGGTGACAGAGAAGTTGAACCAGCCTCACATCTCCCGCAGAAGGTTGCTGATATTCCGAAGCTCCTTAAGAGCAGTTATTGCAGTTACTTGCCCTTTCTCAACTAGGGCATGTTTAGAAAGGCTATCTAATGAGCCAGCTTGACCTTTTTCTTGCTGGAATGTGGACTCGACTACCTGCCACACAAATCGCATGATCATTAATCAACAGTCCAAGACGCAAAATAAATAGAAGATCATCTGTCAGACAGAGTTCTTCAGCTTCCACAAGATAAGCCCATCAATTAAAATGCTAGTATGTAATCTCCAGACATGAACAATGGATTTTCTCTAATTAGTACTCGTAGAGCATAACGCTAAGCATTTCATATTTACACACCCCCCACTGGACAATTTTACCATAGATGGCTTATCTACCGTAAAATTGCATAAACTGCCTTAGTAACAGCTGCTTTCTAGTTTCTACAATCTACATCATGGTCTTACCAAAAGGAGGATTTGGACCACCTAAAAACTTGGAACTCCCGAAGAAACCAAATTTCTACCAGTAGATGGGAAACACTAAGAGATAGCAAAAGGGGGGATTGATCGAAGAGATCAACATTGAGTTGTAGTATCACAACACCACAAACCTTTTTACTAAATCATCGAGCTAGAAAGCAAAAAAAGTAGAGAGTACAAAAATTGAAGTTGGTTTAAAATCTTTAGACCTAACAATGGACCACCTAAAGGCATGAGGTTTTTAAGCAGGGATATAAACTCAATTCTCTGCCAATGATAGAAGCTCAGACAAATTCTCTATTACATACCAAAATAGTCCACAGTGGCTGAAGACCAACAATCATAGCCACACAAGCACGCGTACATTGAGATCAAAGTCATAGCTAAACAATCAATGGCCTACATTGCATCACTTTGGTGTTGAAAGACAAAAAACCGGGGGGAGGGGGGGATTAGCTATTAGACAATCTCCAGGATTTAACCTTTTTTTTAATCTTTACTGCAAAACTACCTCAAGGAAAAGAAGGGGTGGGGAGTAGAATGCTCTAGAGTCTATCATTGATGGGGTACATGGGTTATTCGGAAGCACCCCTTTATTTTTATTCTAGTTCGCTTACAAAGGTTGCTAGACCATATAGTTGTCACTTGTCAGTAAGTCATGCTAATTTTAGAGGATTATAGATAAACAATCAATTTGCTCAACTCTGGTTTTACAATTTACAAAATAGAGCATGGTTCTCATGTAGTAATGTTTCATTTATAAAAATGCAAAAAACAATTATAGCTACTACGTATTTTATTTGAAAGCAAACACCTAAATCTGATCATTGAAGGGAGCAAAATAATAAAGTCAATAGGTTCAACTTTGAGCAATACCTGAATATTTTCCAGCATAGATTGGCCAAGGTTCCTCAACGCACATAACATTTTCTGGTCACAGCCATCTGATTTTATATTCGCAAGGCTGTAATTTGCCTCGTCAACAGAAGATCCTGGTTTATTCACCTTAAGACTTCCTCCATCAGATGATTTTACATCCTCAACCTCAGGCCTTTTATCAGAAGTTCCCTCACCAAAGGATTGGCGCCCAAACTTCCAGAACCACTGAAACTTCCCAGATAAACCTTTTCGTTCCTTTGAAGCTGTTGTTGGTATTTCTTTTGAGCTACTATCAGAACCAAACACTCCATCAGCATTTGCATCCGGAGCATCAGAAATTGGTAGCAGTGACTCTTCTGCAGTGGATTGAAACGAAGAAGAGTCATGGGTTTCGCCATCAATTGAATCATGGGATATATGTGAACCAATACTGCTCTTCTCAGAGTCATTTTCAGCAGGACTCAGTGGCTCTGAAAAGGCGGGAGAATGCTCTTCACTGGCAACACTTAGGCCAGAACATCTCTCGCCAGAGTAAGCATCGTTTTCATGCTCAGCATCTTGAACGTATACATCAGACTCAATATAAGGGGGGTCCTCAAGACAAGAAAATTTATCATGATCTGTTTCTTCAGAATCTTCCCCAAAGTTCAGCTGCTGGGACAAATCTTCAAGCAGACTTCTTCTGACAGCTGGTCTTTTATCCTTCTGTCTACTTTCTTTTTTTGATGGAGATGGGTCAGATTCCGTTCTAGATAATTTTGATTTGATCTTCTCT